GTTCACTATGCAGATGAAGTGACACCGCTGTCAGGTGTCTGAGCTCTTCAGCAGGGATTTTAGGCCGTGGTATTTTCACATATTTCTTATTCTGAAAAGTTGCTCTCATCTATATTAACAGTTCTTTTACTTGTTGCAGGGTGATTTAAGTAGTCATTTTGCTTGTTAAGCCATATGAAAACTAACAGAAAGTAACCGTTTCCTACCTCAGTTAATATACTAAGAAAGAAAGAAATGCAAAACCCTAAACCTACTCCTGGGAGCCTTATCAGCTTAAAGTGAGGTCACTGTCCCTTCCTGTTCTTTGGCATTCTAAACAAGCTAGGACTCTAGCTTGATTTTTTTTTTTTTCTTTTTTGACTTTGCCTACACCATAAGTTCTGTGAAGATCAGGAACTTGATGTTCACCATTCAGCTTCAAAAACAGTGCTTGTTACCTAGGAAACACTGGAGAAATAATTATTGAGTGACTAATTGAATGGACAGAGAATTCAGCAGAGTGGAATGAAATGGTCATTCTTTTACTATTTATTTTTCAATCCAGAAACACCCTGAGTAGTAGTAAAGCTCGGTTTAGAAAGGAGGAAGCTAGGATCAGTTAGGTTTTGTTTTTTTTTTTTTTTTGCCAGAGAGAGACAGATGCTAAGAGCGGGAAGGGCGGAAGCTGTCCTCGATAGGGTGTAGTCATGCCACAGTCCCTTCTCCTCTATTTCTCTACCCCATCAGAAGTTTGGGCATATTTCTCAAGCTGCTGGGATGGAGATCTGAACCATGGTTGGCCATGTGGGATCTGGATCCCTTAACCAGTAGGCCCCATGGCCTGCTCTCAGCGTTTGAAGGGACTGCGATTGGAGAGCTCTCAGTCTTAGATTATGAGCTTGCAGAGTATATAGAAAACCACTTAGAGAAGTAACCATGAGGAACGAAATCCTAAGAAAATAATTTATATAACGAAGGGCAAGTCAGAGCGTGTGGACTGTGCCTTGTCTCTGTGTCTTCTGTGCCTATTTCTGTGCACGTCACATGGCCTTATGGTTACTTGCTCCTTTATGGACCTTTGGTTCCTTGAAGGGCAGGACTAGGATTCATCCACCAGGCCCAGTGCAGGACTTGGCCCGGGTTGGCACTTAGCACATGTCATCGCTGAGTATGTAGCCTCGTTGCTGGCCTGCAGGGGCTGACCCCTGGATGGTGCGTTAGTACAGAGTAGAGGCAACCTGGTGGGTACATGTGTGCTTTCACATAGGATAGAGGGACCCTGTCCTCCTAGCAGGAACCACCAAGGCCATTGAGTCCCTGTCCTGGGTCACAAGGTGAAGTGAGCAGCCCAAGACACAGAGACATCTAGTGACAGGGCCCTGTGCCCGTGAACCTCATGTCATGTCCTCGCCTGCTCTTGTTTGTATTTTTTCTACTACCTTGAAAAAACAAAACCAAACAAAAAACTTCGGTGTCTGATAATTACAAAAGAACATGTTAAAATACGTCCTAAGCATCAGAATAAAATGAGTTACTTGTGATCCCACAGTTCCATGTAAGACTAAGACTAATAACAGCTCTCGTGTTTCCCTGGTGGCTTTTTTTTAACTATCCTTCTCACTCTCTGAATTTTGTATTTGTTATTCCTTTGACTTGGTTTAAAGAGAACAAAAGTTTTGCTGCATCAATCTAAAATACATACCTAAATGGTGGGGAGTTCACTGCTCCCTGGCATTGAGCTTTGCCACAGTGGCAGCGACCTGGGTAGTGCCCTGGGCCTTGCCACCCTTTCCCAGACCTCTGCCATCATTCTGTTTCCAGGCTCACCCCTGTTGTAACACCTAGCTGTAGATTACCCACATTTGCTGCCTTCTGCCTTCTCCCTTCTCCCTTCTCCCGGGCTGTTTCCTGTTCGAACCCCTGAGGGTTTGGGATGACTCCCAAGCAAATGGCTCCGGCTGACTCTAATTTTAACTTTTTACAAGCTGTCACTAAGCTTTCCCATGTTGCTTCACTTATGGGAAGCATTTAGTCATTTCCTAATTTAATGATAGTTCAACATCCTTAGCCCTTCTAATTCGTAGTGAAACATTCTCAATTAAGATTAATTGGGAGTAATGTAAGTATGAGTTAGATCATTTTGTGATCATATTTTAGAGCTGCCAGGGGTACCGTCTGGAAGGAAGCCTATAGGCTGGTGGCGCTGCGGGGAGGGGGGAGTGAAGATGGGGTCAGCCTTTTG